GCCCCCGACCTCTCCCATCCCCCCCCCCACACACACACGTGTGCGTGGGATTTGCAAACAGGACTCCAAGCGCATCTTGCACCCATCCCAGACTTCTCCCAGGCGATGAAACCCTGTCGCCAGCCATGACTTTTGGCTACCCACTGGCAGGCCCCACGCCAGGCATGCCCCTGCCCCCCCCCCCTTGCCCAGCCGTAAAGGATGGTTGGCTCGCCTGTGGAGCTGCTGCTGCCCGGCGTCTGAGTGCAGGTGCACACAGGAGAGCCCCGGCAGGTCCGACATGTCCGGGGTGTCGCACTGGGTGCGGAGGGTGGGGTGGGGGGGTCAGCGTTTGTCACGCAGGGCTGCCAGGAGCCAAGGCTGCTTGTGGTTGCGGGCCAGGTGATGATGATGGCGGCAGGTCTGGAGCTGCATGGGGGTGCCCAGGGGACCCTCATGTGCAGTTGTCTTCAGCGTCGCCCCGCTATGGTAAACCTTCCGGTTGGACGGCGGCAAGGTCAAGCGGCCTGTTTGGGCGCCAGGCGCACGTGCAGACACAGGTGTAGGCCAGGCAGCTGGCGGGCGGCTGGCTTGTCGGAGCGGGGGGGAGGCCGCGAGCGAGGGCCAAGCGCACATCGCTGCCTGGCGACAGGAATCCAGGCCTAGGGTACGCAGGCACTTGGAACACAACCCTCCGCTGCCATCAACTGATTCCAAACCGCATCGCGAGTGCGCTCGCGTGGGCTCTCACGTATTCTCTGGCCATGTGGCGGCGCATCCAGGGGCGGTCGTCGCTGGGGGGAGTGCTTGCGCTGCCATCTGCACCACACAACGGCAAGCGGGCCCGGCGTTTGGGGCAGAGCGGAATGCGGGATCGACACAAGCTTGCGGAATCAAGAACGGTGCAATTGGCGGCTGCGTTTGCGCGTCGACGCTGCTTCGACCATGTCACGCTGCGACGTCAAGTTCAGCTGCCTCGCAGTGCGGGAACATGCGCCTCACATCTGGCTGGCTGTGCAGGCCAGCCAGTCAGACCCGCCTACACGCCCCGCCCTCACACGCAGCGCCGCCCGCTCACCGACAACAAAGCCCTGCCGCACGAGCAGAGACTCAGGCGGCCCGTCAGCGCCAGCAGCACCTTTCCAGTCGCCGTCCAGAATCAGCACCACCTTGCCCCCCTGCCGCGGCGCGCGGCCGTGCCTGGCCCCGTACTGCCATAACGTGCATTACGCGGGCGAGGTGCGTCGGGCGTGGTCGGAGGGCGGGGTGTGCGAGTCTGGGGCTCAGCGGCGCGTCACGCAGCCACAAGCGTGCGATTGATGAGTGTTGCCTGGGCGATTTGTATTCTTGGGTGGGCTCCTGAGCGCGTGAATCCTGCTTATTCCATGAAATGGACATGTGGCCGGTGCGATGGGCCCCATGCCGCGCTGAATGCCCTTGCACATGTGTGCCAACAGTCTTGTTTAGACTGCGTCGTGCTGGACTGGACCCCAGCATCCGCCGCTCGCTTTCTCACCGTGAATTGCGGGTCGAACCAGTAGCTGAGGGGCACTGACGACAGCTCATTGTGCATGCTGTGTGCATGGCAGGGTCAGGGGAGGGAGGGGATGTAGGAGCGCACGCACGGGCAAAGCCCTAATAAGTACAAGAGCCCGGGGGTTCGGAAGGCGCCTCCCGGCTGACAAGCAAGGGCTTGGTGACAGCTGCAACTGGGCAACACAGGGGCAGCCTAGTGCCACATGCGCACGGTCAAAGCTGCGCATGCGCTGAGCCACGCACACGTCTTCTGGGAACTGCTGCACCTGCGCCAGCCGCCCTGCGCCGCGGCGCCTCATGCAATCAACATACAATCGCTGGTGAGCGCTTCCGCACGCGCCGGCCGGGGCGCGGCCCCCCACCCCTGGCGGTTGCGGGTCTTGGAGTCGGGGCTTTGGGAGTAGGCCCTCGCCATCGCCGCCGCATCCAGAATGTGGTCTGCCGCGCACTGTGCTCCCTGGCGGTACAGGGCGTCGCAGTCTTGCTGGAACATGCGGCCCCAAAAATCGGCCCAGGGGAATGGCGCGCCACGCTCGTGCTCTGTCTTGCGTGCAGATAGAGGGCACCAGGGGGCGTAGTGAGGGGGTTAATCGATGGGTCGGGCGAGGGTACCGGCTGTTCGCAATGGGATGACGAGGGTGCTGCACACGCAACCATGCGTCCGCATGCCCTTGCACCATCGCACGCTGTTGCGCGGCGGTGCGAGGGCACGCGCTGGCAAGCCGCGGCGCTGCATTGCTCACTTTGCTCCCGACAGGGGCGTGGATACAAAGCGCGAGGACACTGTTGGTGGACCCCGCCCGCTCGCACGCTTTCAGGGGCACTGGGACGACGCACCGTTGACGTTGTACTGGATCGCAATGAACACCAGCTCATTCTGCTGCGTCTGATCAAACCTGTCGCAGCGCGCGGAGGCCGGTGGCCAGTGGTTATACGTCCAAAACCGGGAGGGACATGGTGGGGCTGATCGCGCGCTAAGGCCAGTTGCAACAAGGAAAGCCACGGAACGGATGCCGGCGGGGCTGGCCGGCAATGGCGGCAGCCGCCGGTGGCGAGCCCATCAGGTTGTGCTGCGGCTGTCCTTTCAGGGGAGCTAGAAGAGCGGCGAATGACCCGCAAGGTCCAGGGAGATGTTGTTGTTGCGCTTCTACGGTACTGTGATCCCTCAAACAAACAATGGCGGCGCGGCAATCACCCTTGCCCGACTTTCCCTGCTCCAAGCACCGGGATCGTACCATAGCTGAAGAGAGCGGCTGACCAGCGGGGTCCGGCGCCGATGGAGGTGTGGTGAGTGGGGGAGGTTGCAGGCGGGCTCAGGTTGGGGCAAGGAGCGCTTCCGGAGGCGCACGCTCGCACCCGCTGCCCAGCTTGCGACAGCAGGCTCCTCAGAGCCTTCGAGATCTGCCCGGCAACAACCCTGGACGCTTGCAGGTGATCCCCCAGTCGCCCTCCCTTACCGACCAGCCAATGGTTTGGGTACTGAAAACTTCTCACTCACCCCCAGGTGTCTTCCCAGGTCTGCATGGACAGCCAGTCACCATGGCGGTAATAAAACTTGGGAGCTTCGCCAGATGACATGGAGTAGTAACTGAAGCGCGAGTCCAGCCACCTGACTCCGCCGGCCAGCAGGCCCCAAATATCCTGGCCTTGTGCAATGGTGGGCGAATGGGCGAGTGGGAAGAAGGGTCATGATGTGCAGCTTGAGTGGGCAGGTCTGCAGTGGATCATCCAGGTAAGCCAGGAAACGATCTTGGCTTTCTAGCTCAGCTCAGGGTATGGGAATCGCATGGGCACTTGCCCTCGTCCAACGAAGTCGCTGGGTGAGCGGGTCGGGCAGAGGAGGCAGAGGTGATTTGGGGCGTCAGGCGGGCCGCGAGGCGGGGTGCCAGGCGGGGGCGAGCGCCGCTCACTCTGTGTCTTGACGAGACCGAGGGTGATGGATCGGTGGGGGTCGTTGATGCCAGCACCGTGGGCGCCTGCAGCGGTGAGTTCAGGTTCATCGGTGGATGGAAGGGTTGCGGGCTGCTTCGAGACAGGGCAGGGCAGCTGGTTGACATGTGCTGAGGGCTGTACCTTGCAGCGCAGAATTTCTGACGTGCAGCAAACGAGCAGAGCAGCAGTGTGACACACACACACACACACACACACTCGCACACACACACACACACACAGACAGCGGACCCAACCTGGCAGCGTGATGCGGCTGAGGGGCAGCCGCTGCCAGTCTGGGAAGCACCACCGCAGCCACCACATCCAGTCTGATGCAAACATGGCGTGCGTCTCCTCTGAGCCTGCACGCCGCAACAAGCGCCAAAGCCGCGTTCATAACAGTTGGCAAGTGAAAATGTTGTGCGTGCGGTGCGATGGACAAGCGGAATCCTACTGTTTGTGACACGTCGCAAGAGCCCTTGGCGCCACAGGCATGTGTGACACACCCACCTGCAATATGGCTCAACGTGTTTGTCTGGTTGCACACGCCGGTGCGTGCATCAATCATTCTTTGCAGCAGTGCGCAGCTCTCAGTTGCGAGCGCTGATCGGTGCGGCGGCGCGGTAGCATGCATGCCTGCAGCGCCTGTGCGTGGGCGTTGCGAGCGAGCTGCAAGCTCTGTTCTTGCTTCCGTTGCAAGCGGCTGATCGGGTGAGCTGTCAAACAGGGGGATGTCAAGGCAGATCTTTCAACAACCAAAGTAAAGCGCTGACGCTGTCGTCTGGTGAATTGCGGGGGACTGCAGGTGCCCCAGTGACGGGGCTGTACTCACCGCTTGGTGCGTGCGCAGTCAGCAGCATCACAGCGAGCAGCCTTGACACATCCCAACAGCGTCGTGTACCCTCTGGACGCGAGCACATGGCCAGAAGGCTTTCAAACGGGAAAGATCAGAAAGTGCTTTCGTGTCAGATGCCTCGTAATAGGCTCCTTCGCTGTACGTACAAGATATGCCGGTGAAGTACCCCTGGTTATACCATCAAATGTTATGAAGTGTCGGCAGGAGGCGCCCAGCGCGATGCACACTTTGCCGGCATTGCGCTATTCAATGCAACAGCGTTTGAATCGGTACGATCTGCTTGAGGGACTGATGTTCACCATGGCAGGGTGTGCCTGGTGATTGTGAGCGCCAGCTGTGGGACGTCTGCCGTGTTTGGTGTATAACAGACATGCTGGCACACTGGACTGCTCTTGACAGGCGCCGCTGCATGAGGGATTACTCAGAGAAGCCCAGCAGCCAGTCTGCACGGTGCACAGGAACAACAGCCCGCTGTTTGACCTTAACGCAAGCGGCTGACTTCACACCCAACACCGCTTATGAAGTTTGGGATCTGCACAGCACCGTCACCAAAAGTGGCGGCGGGCCGAGGAAAGTCGTCCATCACTGCTGGTGAAGAAGCGACAAGCGCCGCCGCCGCCTCACTGCTGCTCCCCCTCCGCCGCCTCCCCTCCCGCCTCATCCGCGCCGGCGCCGTCCTCGCCGCCGCCGCCGCTGCTGAGCCCCTCGAGCTTGAGGCCGGCCTCCAGCGCGCCGTCCCTGATGGCGCGCCCCGCCTCGCTGTCCCCGAGCGCCTCCCACCAGCGCTCGGGGATCCAGCCGCTGCCGTGCAGCGCGCCGGCGAGCGCGCCTGGGGTGCACACGTGCGCGCGGGGATCGATGGAGCAAGGCGGGAGCATCAGAGTGCTGAGAAAGAAAGCCCGGGTCAACCAGCGACGGTACGAGTGAATTGATTGGGGCTACACGCCATGAAGAGGGCGTCCTGGCGCCCAGCAGCGGAAAAAGAGACGACGGGTTTGAAACATGCGTGCCCACCCCGCCCGCACTGTGCTGGCTTCACCTGTCAGGTAAGCGGTCGTGCTGCTGCTGCCCCCAAGCGACGCGGCGATGATGACGGCCTGCTCCGGCCGCCGCCAGTTGGTCACCAGTGCCCACAGCGCCACCGCCACCGCCTGCGCGGGTGGGCAGAGGCGGAGGTGTCTCGCGGTTTGGCGGAGCAGCGGGGTGACGCGCATGGTTTCCAGGCACAGGCGCGGCCGCGCGGGCAGCAGGCGCGCGGATCGCCCGCGGTCTCTCGCCCGCAAGCGGGCGGCCTGCAGCTCCGCCCAATGTGTTTCGCTCGGAGCGTCCCAGGGCGCGCGACCAGGGTCGCCACCCTCGCCCTGTACCCAGCGTCTGTCCAGCCAGCGCAGCCAGAGGTGCGTGGCCCGAACCCTCTGCGCATGCGCACACAGATGACAGCCACGCGCCCACCTGGGTCCCCAGAGTCGCAAAGCCCCGGTCGGTCAACGAACTGTGGATCTGCACCATACGCCCCCACTCCTCTGAGAGCCAAAACTCCCGCCAACTCCCCACCACCCTGACACCCTCATCAGCGGCCCCGCTGCCGCCCAGGGCGCTGCCGCCACCTCCGCTGCTGCTGCTGCTGGTGCTGGTGGTGCTACTGCTGCTGCTGCTGCGCCGCAGCGGCGGGGGTGAGGCGACAACGGGTAGCTGCCCTGCAGCTGCCAGGCCGCGCTGGAGCAGCTGCAGCTTTGAGCGCATTGAATCAGAGGCCACCACCTGTGACGCACAAGAGCAGGGGCACAGGTGCTGAGCCCTACACAATGCTAAGTCACGAAATACCACAATGCCAGGGGCGATGAGCCCGCCGCGGCACCACATGCACACGCCAGCAGCCAAAACCAGACGTGCCGGGGTTCCCGCCCCTGCAGCGCAACTCCCCTCTTTGCCCGGCCGCATCGGGGCGCACGAGCTAAGAGCGGCGCCACGAGGGCGGCAGGATGTCAACCAAGGGCCCCACCTCCGCCAGCCGCTCCAGCAGCTGCTCGGGAGTTGCCGCCTCCGGCCCCTCCGCCGCCGCCAGCCACGCGACCGCGGCCGCCACCGCGAGCGCGCCGTCGCGGCCGTCGTCCTCTGGGTGGGTGAAGAGCGCCCACGTGTCCACTGCCGCGACCAGCTCCTGCGCCGCGGGCGTGGGGCAGTGTGAGGCGAGCCGGGCAGGCCGCGGGCGCGGTCCCGAAACGACCAGCAAAGCCCGGCCCCCGCCGGCGACGCCGCGAGCCGGCTAGTGCGCCGCGAGGGCGCCCGCTCGCGCGCCGCAGACGCGATTTTGCCGGGCGGTGAGGGGCGTGTGCGAGCCAGAGCGGCCCTCCGTGTGTGCCCGACCAGCCGCATGGCACAGCAGCGTCCGACCCGGTCAAACCCCTTCCAAGTCAAACCCCCGAGTGAAGCCCCTGTCTTGGCCCGCTCACCCTATCGTCCGCCCCCTTGAGCGCCAGCCCCAGCGCCGCGCACCGCACCGCCGCCCCGTGGTCGCGCGCGCCGAACGGCTGGCGCTCCGCGCGGTCGCTGCTGCTCGACGCGCGGCGGCTGGCCCCCAGATCCAAAAACTCGTCCGCCTGGCGCGCCAGTGAGAAGGGGTCCACGCCGGCCGCTAGGGCGTCCAGGACGAGCGCCGTGTAGGGGGTGTACGCTGAGTCATCGGGCGAGTAGCTTTCCGCCAGCGCATCGAGCAGGTCCCCAAAGCCGGGCACGGCGCCGGCCGGCGCCTCGCCGAGCGTTTTGGCGGCGGCGACGGCGGCGGCCGCGTCGCCGGGCGCTCGGCGGGCGGCGGGGCCGGGGGCGGAGAAGCGCCAGGGGTCCAGCAGGCCCTCAGGGAAGATGCGGGTGATGCGGAAGTGGCGCTCTGGCTCGACACTCAGGCCGAGGGCGGCGCCTGCGGGCGTGCGAATGGAGTGGAGGGGCAAAAGAGGGCAGGCTGGCCGCAATTCAGGGGGTCCAGCCTGGGTGGCGGGCAACATCGGGCGAGCCCTTTGGGATTGCGGGTGGCGCAGGTCCAGCGAAGCGGGGCTAATGTGCTGCGCGTACAAGCCAGACGTTACCGCACCGGAAACGGCGGCCACCAGGCACCCAACACAGCGCTTCGACTGCGGGTCATCGAGGTCGGCGAGCCGTGGCAACGCTGGTGCTGCGTCCTCGGCCTCGGCAGTATCTGCATCCGCTACACGAGTTTTGAAGCGCCTCTGTAGGCATCTGGCAGCGCCAAGATGGCTAATGTGCTGGTGCAGCGACCGAGGGCGGGCCGCCCCCATGGCTTGCGCCTTCGCTCTCATCATAGGAATACAGCGATCCTCAAGCCAATATCTGCGTACAAGACCCCCTTATTCAGGCGGCCCTCCGGCAGATCTCTGTTGAGTACACAAAATTATACACTATGTGTATGCGGTAACCTGTCGCAAGTCCAGCACGAAATCGCGACACATTCGCTGAAATTGATACCCACATCCTCTTGGCACCAATCCACTTTTGAGAGCCGCAGGGACCCGGCGACGTAGGCACCGCCAGGCTCTGCTGCGCAGGCAATTGTGCACAAACGCTCACCAACCCTCATCCTCAGGTCTTTTGCTGTCACTGCGAGCTCAACAGGTTACACGAGACATCATCAAGCAAGAGAAGGTGGCCGGCACCAATAGCGACAGCGCGTTTGGTTATCTTCAAAAGAGGGGCTGCTCTAATGTGTGTGTGCGCCAGGTGTACACTGCACACGCCGAGGAGCCTCGCTGCACAACGCTGGGGGAGAATTTCAAAGTACGGGTGTGGTCGGGGATGCAAGACGCACAGCTCAGGAATGAAGGCAGCCAAAGGGGAGGGGATACTGGAGGGGAGTGGCGGTGTTCAGCTCTTGTTT